AGGAAGAACCTGTTGGCTTGCATCAATGGACTCTCAAAAACGCATAATAAACATTTTATGATTGCACTTCTATTAGAGCTGTTTTGGTTATGGCCCAACAATTAACTGTCTATAAAAATTTTTTGATACGGCTGTTTTCATTGCTTTCTTTAAGTTTTAAAATTTTTTTCTCATTGTCTTTAATCATTTTGAATGTTCGATTAAATTTTGTCTAAATATGATTAATTTTAACTCATCAATCTGCATTTTTTTAAAAATTTTTTTGATTATATCTATCAGTAATTATTGAAGTAAGCTTCATTAAGCAATCAGTACAACATTTATCTATAGTAATTTAGACTAAACTCAATCATTCACCATTAACACATTTGAACCGCTTTAAAACATCATAAGACCATCCATCATCAAAATACCTTACTACCTATTTATCTTTATCATCATTTTCTCAATTATTTATTATAAAACAATTTTTTACACTATATTCTTGATCTCACAATGATTGAGAAGTAAACTTCAATGAAAAGTGGGAAATTGCAAAAATTAAATCGTTTACGTAGCAAAAAAAATTACTTATAAATTTTAATTAGCTATAAGATTGGTTATAATTGATTAAACTTTAAACTTAAATGTTTTAAATAAAAATTCAGTTATGAATTAAATTTATTATGTCTTTAGAGCAGGTAAGAATTTTTTTTCATACATTTCAGGTTGATTTTTGTTAAGCTAATAATAATAGAATATTAATCATCTGAGTATAAAGTGTTAGCAGTTGTAATAACTAACATATTGTTTAACTTTTTAGCATTATAAATCAATCCTTCTTACAACGCGTAAATAGAATTATTAGCGCAACTTCTTTATTTCGAATAATCACATTTATAATTATTACAAAACGTAGCATAATTCATAAAATATTTAGATTTATACAGTTGAATTATACTTTCATTTTTTGTATGACTATACGTTAATAAACAAAACAATGGTATTCAAGACATTGAAATATTGTAAAATAATATGGCATTAGACATCATAATTACACAACTTTATTGTCGTAACTTTTTTTTTTCTTTTACATATAATAAATTACAAACGTATAGTATTTCATTTCATTGAATAATACAAAATTACAATGAATAAATATAATAACTCAAAATTCATAAGTCTTAGAAATCAAAGTTTTGAGAGAAAGTAATTAGCATAATTAGTGAGAGAGACAATCAACAATAATTTAACTTTTGTAGTGCTGCCTTTCTTGCCAATGAATGAAGCAAACAATTCTGTTCATATTTTAACAACTTTGTGAATATAACTCTTGTAAGAAATAGTAAGGTAAAGAATGAAATAATTGATGATTTAACATGCGGTCTGCTTGCAACAATAATAGCATTATCTCGGCTTATTCATCATCATTAACTTTAATTGATTGCTTTTCTTAAAAAAATGAAAAAGTTTGGATAATCTATTAATAATCCGCTTATCCTTATTTTCTTTATCGTATTTGCAGACTGTACAACAATTTCATTAAGTTATTTCTGCTCTTAAATTAATTATGAGCAAAAAAAAGCACAAATAATTTTTTTTAAGATATTTGAAATATTAACTTTTACAAATAAATTTCCATAGATAATATTAATTGAATTACTTCAATGACGCTAATTTTTGTAATCTTATATTTGATCAAAATTAAGAAGCATTAACAAAAATGCTTCATTGCTGGATAGTATATTGAAGTATATTTGAATTCATCACTTTTTAATGATAAAACTTTTAACTAATTAACATTATTA